GGGCGTCCCCGCTTGCTGACAGCCGGCAGTGGAGCCCCGGTCTGCGTTGCCGGCTTACCCCCAGGATAGGCGGCTCACCACTTTTCCTCCCGGGGTAGCTCTGTTTAAGAGCAGTTCCCTTCTGTCTATAAGCAAGGGAGTGGAGTGTTCTTATGCTACTGCTTGTGTAAAACAGAGAGAAAAGAGAGACAGGCTATCATACAATTCATACTCATCAGTGGTTCTCAAGGAGGGTGTAATTTTGTCCTGCGGGCCGCCCTCCGCCGCCGCAGCGAAGAAGCATCCAGCCTAAAATGTCAAGAATGTGAGGTTGTGAAACCCTGATAGACAAGAATAAAATAAAACTCCAGGCTAGTAGATCTCAGCTCAGTTTAACCTCTCTGTGCCTCCCTTTCTCCATCTGTAAAATGGGAAAGATTATATGTCTATATATGCATGTACATTGAGTACCTGAAGGAAGGGGAGGAAGGAATGCGGTCTTACTCTTCACTGTGAACCTTTGTTCTTTGTTCTGCTTGAATTTTTTTTAGCCATGTGTATATATTATCTATGTAAAATAAATTTCTGTAATAGTTCCACCATAACAGCAAATATATATATATATAACTACCTATATATTATATATATATTTACATACTATTTAGCCATTGTTCTAAACACTTTCTATATTTACACATTCAAACCTTTAATAGCCTTGTGAGAGGTCTATTTTCATCCCCATTTTACAGATAAGGAAAAAATGACATGCAGACATTAATTTGTCCGTGGTCAGCCATATGTTTATTCATAGCTCATTCATTAATTTCTTCATATGTCCAATAAATAGTGCCTGCCATGTAGAAAGTGCTAAAACTGACAAAATGAAATCCCCTGCCTCCATGGAGCCCCACTGTTACTGGTCTGGAAGCAATAAAATAATGTTATATAGTGTTCATTGTGCACATATTACAGGCTTAGTATGACTAACTACATAGTAACCCTGCTGGGTGTTTTATAATATCCTCTTCTGGGTGGAGAAATGGAGATCAAGGGAAGAGGTCTGAATGGGTGGGGCATGTGTTTAATAATATTCTAGCAACATGCATTTCCTGAGCGAGTCAGCAGGTAACAGGAGGACTAGGGTTGTGCATCTGAGTAGGGGAATCTGGACCCTCCAACGAGCATTGTGGACTTAGGTACAGAGCAATTAACCTGGTCCAAATAAGAAGAGCCAGGGGTGTTTGCACTGAAGCCTGAAGAGTTCATAAAAGAAGGTTCTGGTCACAGGGACCTGCAGGGACAAAGGTCCAGCAGGGAGGACATTTGTCATGGAGCCTTGCATGAAGGGCAGAGTGGACAGGATGTGGGGTGGGGTGAGAGGAGATCAGGGGGGTCCGCAGGGGCTGGATGCTGCAGGGCTTTTTGCGCTCTAAGGAGTCAGGACTTCGTCTTGCAGAGATGGAGAGATAGGGGAGGAGTTCAGTTGGGGAAAGACACGTCAGCTTTGCTTTCTGCAAAGATCCTCTGGCTGTTGTGCAGAAGAGGACAGGCAGGGAGACTGTTTTAGAGGCTGTTGGAAGTACTCCAGGGAAAGCAGGTCGACCCAGGCAGGGCTAGGGGCATGGAGGGTGTGTTTGCGTTCCAAAGATGTCTAGAAGACAAGATTGGCAGGTCTCAGTGGTGGCCCTAAAGAAAGGGACCAGAATGATCTCCTGGTCCCTCTCCTCTCAGCACCCCCAACTCAGCTAACACCTTCACGTCTCAAGCTAATGAAGTCAAAACTGGAAGTTTCTGTTTCGGAGCAAAAAAATGTGACTTATTTTTAAGCTCTGAAATTCTCTTCCAGGTGGTGAGATGCTCACATTTCGAGAGACATGTTGGAACCAGGACCCATGGAAGGAACCATCGGTTGATGACTCTTTGTCCCATTCACTCCTGGGCTTTTTAGATGTTCCTGTTTTTCCCCTGTTTATTTTTACCTTTGTTCGCTATTTTGGCTTGTAATTTTTATTTGTTTTCTGGGGTTTTTTTTATTACTGCATGTTTTGCTTATTCATGAATTCATTAGCAAAAGTTAAATAAATGTATGGATAAAACAAATTAAATATAAAATAAGTTCTTTGTTATTTTCTTCTGGGTTTTGCCGGTTAGTTTTGCCAAGTGTATATGTTATGATTCAGCAATGCTAATAGGCACCTTCTTCTTCACATAACACCTGTGAGAAGGTAAGGACGTCACCCGCTGTGAGTGGAAAGTAGCCTGGAAGATATAGACTCCGACTGCAAAGAAGTTTAAGAACTCACTTAATTGATGGATTTCTATTGTGATTTCCTTTTATGGGACTCACAAGATGGATACACCGAAAAAGTGATGTCTAAATAAATTTAAAATAGTTCTTTCAGTAAGTATGAAATAAAAATTCCAAGTGATCAGAAAGCAGCTGTGTTACATCTGAATGGATAGTATTTCTCTTTTTCTTTCTTGGATCATAATATTCTGGTGCCCCTTGCCATCAGGGAGGTCTCAGCATTGAAGAAGTATGAAAGTTGGGTTTGTGTGGCTCGAAGGAGTCCACTACAGTAGAATTTTAGAGCGGCATTCACACACCTTAGGAACTGAGAATGGGCATCTATGTAGCTTGACACTGGAATCAGAGAACCGTGGACACTTAGAGATCATTTACAGAATCTTGGAGAATCACGGAATTTTGGAACCACAGAATCCCAGTGTTAGAATCTTGAGGCTGGATGGACATCTGAGCTGTTATTTTCCACAGACAGGAAGACTGAGGCCCTGGGGATGGAAGTGATTTGTCCAACACTTTGCAGCTTCCAACGGAAGAGCACGGTTAACACTCACATCTCCTAATTCCTACCCAGGAATCCTTACTTCTAGTTCAAGACAAGGCAGCCTGTCTTCTAACACAAGATGCTGGTCAAATTGGAGGGTGGAGGGTGGGAAAACGAGGATGGGAGGAAGAGAGAAAACGCACGTCCTGGAGGGGAAGATCTTCTATGTGAAGCTCAGCCAAACCACAGAGTGGGCTGTCAGGAGGCCCCACTTTTCTTTCCAGCCTCCGCTTCTGCCACACTCAGCATTCTCTTCCCATGCCCGACTTCTAGCCACACAACCACCAAGTGACTCCTCCCACTTTAATAAGCTCTGCTTGGACCCACCACAAGCTCTCTCAGCCTCTGTGCCTTTGCCCATGGTGCTCTGGGGCTGCCAAGTACAGTTGTACTTGGGCACAGCTCAAGGGTACCATACTGACATCATATACATCACAGATTTATACAAATAATTTCTGGTGGAAGGCAATCAAATGTCTTGAGGAAGAGGCAACTTTTATCACTTGCACAAAGGTATGGGATAGCAGGGACCCTGGCATTTGCTCTACCTGGAATGTCATCTCCCCTATTCTCTACCAAGCAAGCTCCTGCGTCATCCTTCAAGGCTCCCTTCTAATATTCCCGCCTCCAGGAAGATATCCATGGCAACACCTCCCCCAGGCTTCCTGCCTAGATTAATGGTTAAGAACAATCAATGCCACTTGTTTATATAGAGTCAATCCTGCCTGGTGCAGATTTCCAGAGCACGGCTCGTGCCATTTGCAATAGGAGAGGTGATTCCAGGTGGAACTTGGACCCAGGATTAAATAACACTGAATCAGATACAAGAAAATAACGTTCTTCTCGGTCTTCTTTGATTGAATCAGGGAGAAAAATCTGTTTGGTTCAAGCATGTCTCTCATACCTGTCTCTTACTCTCACTCATCACCTATTCTGTCAAAGAGTGAGCAGATTGCAGCCTTAAAACCTTCAGCAAGCAGTGGTGTCTGCTGAGAATTCAATACTTGGCCTTCTTTAAATTGTACTCATTTAGATGATTGCTCTATCTCTGACATATGATGCTGATTTTCCATATCCTGTAGTGTTCTAAAGTTTTATTTACAAATCAGTGCACTGAAGCACACAAGATTGCCTATTCAAATAAAAATATTAAGTAAATAACTAAACAGATGGTAAGCAGAGAAGGCAAAAAATCAGGAGAGTGGTACATGAAGGAGAAGAATCTGAAAACACAGGTTTGTTTAAGGGTGTAGCTCTGAAGCCAGACTGCCTGGGTTCAAATTGTGCCATGCTAGCTGTGTGACCTTGGGCAAGTCACTTCCCCTCTCTGGGCCTCAATTTCTTCCCTGGTTAAATAGGAATAATTATATCATACTGGCCTCCTAGAGTAGTCCAAAAGATACACTAAGAGAATGTAAAGGACTTAGTGGTGCTTGCTGTTTTTATTATTGTAATTGTCAAGACAGAGGAAGTCACAGGCCAGCAACGACAAGGGACCTTGAGGCATATGTCTGTTCACAGACGCAGGAGACATTTTGGCTTTAGGAACTTTTATTTGCATGGGGAAGATGGGGAAGATGAGCCCGCAGAAGGGTGGGGCAAGGGAGAAGAGAGGAGTGGGGACTCACTTGGGGGGCTCCGTGGCCAGCACGGGGAAGGAGCCTTCACGGTGCCACTGTCTGTCACGCAGGCGGCGCACAGCCTGCATCTGTGGCTGGAAGGCCCCCCACTCGTTCCAGTGCCGGAACTCGCCAGGCTCCAGGAGATACTGGTACCCGCGGTAGCCAGGATACTGATAGCCGACCCAGCTGGAAGGAAAGCAAGAAGGACAGCGTGGAGGCAGCCAGCCTCACTGCCTAGCACTGAGACCCCCACCTGGACCGGCTGGTTCTCCAGCCACCCCTGCAGTCGGCTCTCCATCCCTCACCTGTGAGGGCCTGAGCCTGGATCACCTGGGCTCCTCTGTGCTGGTTTGGCTTCCTACTGGCTTTGGCCAGTGATCTCACCTCTCTAACAGACCTCAGTTTTCTCCTCTAGAAAGTGGGGATGCTCATGGTAGCTGATTTATTAGGGTGTTAGTACACATCCCACCAAAAGTGGTGACCTGGAGCTCAGAGAACAGGAGCAAAGGGAGTGAAGATGGGGCCTAGGGGCTGGTTAGCAATGAGAAAGATAAGAAGGGGGAGCCTTGTTTTCAAAAATGGTTTCCTTTGCTTGTCAGTGGATTTGTGCGCGCTAGTTGGGAACGCATATTCTGTGATAGCAGACAGACCCAGTTCAAATCCTAGCATTGCCATTTACCAGCTGGGAGAATCGAGGCAGATGACTGCTCAGAACCCCAGCTTGCTATCTGAACTGGAGATGATAACACACCTGTCTCACAGGTGCGTTGTAAAGACTTGAGAACTAGTCATTGAAAGTAGTTAGCACAGTGCTTGGTACACAGTAAGCACCTAATGTAAGTTATTAACAATGATTTATTTCTAATTCTGTCATTGCCTCTGCTGGGAGGATCTTTCTAGGCATCTCCCAGCCCCCTGCCCAGCTTTCAAAGTCTGGTTTAAGTTCCAGCCTCCTCAGATAAGCCTCAGACCTGCTCTCCATTCCAGCACACACGCCCCGGTCCCAGAAACCTTCCTCCCTCCTCTGACCTCCTGTGTGGACCATCTCTTACCTAGAACCATCAGACACCGTCTCACAGGTACACTCACACCTCCCTGCTAGACTGAGAACCCACTGAGGGTGGGGACTGAGCCTTATTCATCTGTGCCTCCCTCAGTGTGCCTGGCACAATGTCTGACTCACAGGCAATGGTTAATACATTTCAGATAGCTTGAAGGAAGGGGTACTTTTCAGGGAAAGAGGAAAAAAATAAGAAAAAGACCAGGGCCCTGACGATGTTACAGGATCTCAGAAAGAGTCTGTGGTGGACAGGTAGTCACCTTACATTTGCTTAGAGGAGACCAGGGTGTCTGGCATGGCTGTTTGGGGACAGAGGATGGATAAAGTGACCTCCTTTGGGCATCCAGTCCTCCCTGGGTTCTCAAAGACATGGGGTCGTGGGGCTGTGTTCTGAAAGCTTCAAATCCTGAGGGTTCGGAGCAGACAGAGTCCTTTGAACTCAAGGCATCTGGTGTGCCCACTATATAGATGGCAACACTGAGACACAGAGAGGGGCACGTGGCCTACCCAGGGTCCACAGCACTTCGGTGACAAGGTCATATCCTTTCAGGACACAGTATCAATTCTCAGATACATTCTGCTCATTCCCCCAGAGGTTCCGATTTCCCTAAATTTCTCCTTCCCTAGACACCTACAGACTCACCTACTAACATCCTCCCTGCCCTCCCTTGCTTAATTATTCCTGCAGTCCAAATAGGGGTTTAGAGGCCCCTATTCTTCCCCATCTTCCAGCTTTTAAGAACCAACTGCTAGGATCGTTGCCACTGACAAGCAGCAACACTGACAAGCAATAATGTGCGACTCCACTCCCCAGAGGAACGAAGCTCTCTTGGTGGAACCCTGACACCAGCACTGGCAGAACGGAGAAGGAGCCGGGAACTTTCCTGCCCGTCTGATGTCATATTCAATAAGGGGGACAGTCTCTGAGTCTGTGCCTGACGCAGGGGCTGAGGGCCTGGCCGGAGAGATGCTTACGTTCCACTGGAGACCTTCACGCTGCCCACACGGTCACAGAAGCCGTAGACCCAGAGACTGGGCACGTCGTCATCCTGGATTTCCAAGGTGTTGCCCTTGAAGTTGGCACCTTCAAACAGGGAGAGCTTGTGCTCCTGGGCATCCTAGGGAAGGAGAGGCTGGGTCAGGGGCGTGAAGAATGCAGGGGGGGAGAGAGAGAGCTGTCTGCTCAGGCCAGGGTGGGACTCGCTGGGATTGCTGCTGTCCAGGCTGGAAGGACCCTCCTCATCCCTGGAAAGGGGGCGTCAGCCTCTACTTCATGGAGTTAAGCCATACAGAGCACCTAGCAGGATGCCCGGCATGTACCAAGTACTCCAAAAAAAAAGTATCTGCTATTTTTATTATTATGATCAGGGATGCAGAGGCTCAGAGAGGTCAAGGTTCTTGATCAATGGCACACAGCCAGTGCCAGTGAGGGGCAGAATCTTCCAGAGAAGCATTTAATTCCTCCCAACCCATCATGCACCCCACTCCCCTCCACTCCCTCGGCTGCAGCCACACCGGCCCCGTTTTAGTTTTCGGGTCACACCCAGTCCACCCTCACTTCAGGAACTCCACATGCACTGTTCCCTGGAAGGCTGCTCACATGGCTGAGTTGGTTCCCAGCCTTTGGGAGCTGTCTCCCCTGATCACCCCTGACCACTCCCATGCCCCCTTCCCCAGCATCAGAGTCCCAGTTTCCTGACACACTGCCTGGCACCTGTGCCACACGTACCATGGTTGTTCGCCATTGTAGATTGATTTCTGCAATTAGGTTTTCCTTCATTCTCTTGCTCATCTGACTCCCTTGCTCTAGTAGATGTCAGACCTCACACCTGCCCCGTCCTCGCCCATGAATCCACAGGGCCCGGTCCAGGAGCCACTTACCATCCTGACGGGTCGGAAGGACATGAGCCGGTCACTGCGGTAGCTGCTCGACCACGTGTCCCATCGCGGGTACTCGCCCTTCTCCAGGACGAACATCTCCCCCCGGAAATTGGACTGCTCAAAGGCGACCCAGCTGGATGTGAGAGAGATGGGGAGGGTGGGGAAGGCCAGAGGATCAAAGGCAGAAAAGAGAGAAATCATTAGCAGAAGTCCCCTCCCCACCACGTGCCTTCTGATCTCCCCCTTGTAAGGCAGCCCCAAGGCCAGTGGGTTGGATCCCAGGCTATACCACTTACTGACTGTGTGACCGCAGGCAAGTTGCTTCACCTCTCTGAGCCTCGGTTTCCTCATCTATTATGCCTAGTTCCTTGGAGTTGGTGCAGGATGAAATGAGACCATGTGTGTAATGATATGAACAAAATGTTGCCCCAGATGCAGGATTCACACGTGATTTAAGTACTCTGAGGATTTTAGGGGAAATAGTACATAAAAAGACTTTTTTTTAAACCTGATTACAGCTAGGAGAAAGTCTTCACTGGATGCTAATGTGCCTTTAACACTTACTAACCTCTCGTTGTAGCAAAGGAAGAACAGGCTACCAGCCCGGAGCCTTGAGCAGGCAATGCTGTAAGAGCCCTGCTCTTGTTACTGTATGCATTTTTATGAATATCTTTTACTTATAGCAAAATATTAGCTTTCTGCTTGTAAAAGTGATGTAAAGCTTCTTCTGATATACAGTCATTTGTGTCCAAAAAAGATCATTTTAAATTAAACATCTGAAATAAGTAACAGTCCTGGAGGTATGGGGGTAGGGAGAAATGGATACGGTGCTTGAAGCATGTTTGGAAAAGACTGGCCTGGCATACAGGAGGCAGTAACTGACATGGGGGCAGCGGGAGGAAAGTGATGGTAACACTTACCTCTCAGAAACCTATGAGAATTAAATGTGATTGTGCACATGAAGGTCTTCAGTCCTCGAAAAGGACTAATTATAAGCTTGAAAGCTTTCTCTGTGCAGCCTGATTGAGAATGAGAAGCGAGCTTGTGTTAGAGGGACCAGGGATTCTCAGGGAAATTAGGTGGTCCCCATTTCATGGGGGACCAGGCTACCATCATGGACTGAAACAGAATGTGTTCCAGGAGCCTCAGGTCTTGTCTGAGGAATGAAGAATCCACATTGAAATGACAGAATTGAAGATGCAGACTTATTCTTCCAGAAGACAGTTGAATCTGCCTCAGCCCTGCCTAGTCTCAAGTATATGAGAAAAGGATGAATGGATGGATGGATGGGTAGATGAGTGGATGGATAGGTGGATGGGTAGGTGGGGAGATGGACAGATGGGTACATGGATAAGTGTAACGATGGATGGATGAATGCATGATGGAGAATGGATGGAAGGAGGGGTAAGCAGAGGGATGAATAAATGGATGGAGAATGAATGGCCAGATGGATGGATGAATGGGTTGATCTATACATGGGTGAATGGGAAGGGAGACTTGGAAGACGGCACCACGTAGGAGTTAAGAGCATAGACTTTGGAAATAGACCTGAGTTCTAATCTCAGTTTATCATTTATTTTCTGTGTGACTTTGGGCAAGTCACTTAAGCTTGTCAAGCCTCAGTAAAGGAGAAGAAATGATTGCATCTACCTCATCAGGAGATTATGAGGGTCTAAAGGAGAAAGCACAAAGAGTAATATATTTTATGATTAAAGAGGGAGGGAAGCAGCCGGAGGGCTCTGCCTATGGAAAGACAGACACTGATGTGTTCTTGCCACCCTGCCACCCTCCTCCAAAACGGTCTGACTCAGGAGTCACATTGCCCACTGAGGACCTGTTATCTGAATGAGGAATTGTCAGTCTTTATTTTTGTGCCTTTTCTCATCTCCTATGGCTCATTTGAGTCTTAGCAGCAAGGAGAGAGGTAGGGAAGGAATCTTAAGTTTCAGATATGGGAACTCAGGCTCAGAGGGGTTAAGTCGCTGGTCTAAAGTCACATGATGGTGTCAGGTGTCAGTTGAAGCCTCCCCTTCCCCTCGCTGCTTGTGTGAGGGCACACACCTCTCCTCCCTTCCCCCTGCCCACCTCATCCCCTCCATCTTTTTTTCAACCCTGGCAAAGACCCAGGGCCCTGGACCACAGGCTCTTCTCTCTCCCCATTGGGCGCAGCCCTGGAGCACACACCAAAGACCAGCTGCATCTTTGTTTGAGGAGCAGTACTCTGGGTTTGAGTCACTGACACCAAAAAAAGCCTGAAAACCCAAACTGGCCACATCCGGTAGCTTCTGTTCCCAGCTGGGCTTTAAATCTGAGGGTGGGGCTGCGCTTCCGAGCCTACCTTGGCCCAGGGTGACTTAGCTAAAACCACAGGGCAACGAGGAAAGTAAATAATCATCACTGCCACCTGCCATGTCTGGGCACCCACAAAGTGCCAGGTCCATGTTGCATTATCTCCTTCAGACCTTAGCATAATCCAGCAGAGGGTAGTAGGGACTACTACTCTGCCCATTTCAGAGATGAGGAAACTGAGGCTCAGGCGCTGAATAAGGCAAACGAGAGAGTTGGGATTCAAAGCCAGACCTGTCTGACCTCAAAGCCCATCTCTGCTCTTTGTACTGCCCAGAGCCCCGGGATGCTGGGCATACAGGCTGATCACATCTGTTGGGGGCTTTTGTACTGGAAGGACAAGGGGCAAAAGAGCCCTGGGGGTCTTGTCCTGGGGCTGGCCCTGTGCCTTGAGCTTAGTCCACAGGGGCTGAAGACGGTGCAGTCACAATGTCCAAGGGACAATTATTCTTGCTTTGTATGGTGGTAAGGCCCAGAGAAGCCCAGAGAAGCCCAGAGGGTCAGGGGCAGGCTGTGGAGCGAGCATGGTAATAAAAGTGCTGTGGATGAAACTGATCAAGCTGAGTTGAAACCAGGCTCTGCCACTTACCACTAGGTGACTCTGGCCAAGGGACTTAACCCCTCTGAGCCTCAGTTTCCCCATCTGTCAAATGGGAATAAGAATCGCCCCTCCCTCACACAGCACTTTAGGATCGCCTAGATACAGCCCTCAGTCAGTGCCTGGCACCTCGTGTGTACTCAACAGATGCTCACTATTACCCTTTAAGCTGCCTGATGCCCGGGAGAGGGGACAGCTAATGGACACCTGGCTCTTCGGCGTCCTCCTGCCACTGGTGAAGGGCAGGATTCCTCCTACAGCAGAAATGGCATTTCCCTGGGGCTTAGAATCATGACTTACTGTCAGTGCGTCCTTATGCTAATCAAAGCACCTATCTGAGCCTCAGTTTCCTCACCTGTAAAATGAGAAGGAGAATAATACCTCCCTTTCCTCCCTCTTAGGTTTGAAATAAGTACCAGAAATAATATACAGTTGGCCTCAGTATCCGCGGGTTCTGAATTTGTGGATACCAAGTTCCGACTGTACTGCACCATCTTACGTAAGGGACTTGAGCATTCGCAGATTTCGCTATCCGGTAGGAGTCCCGGTACCAGTCCACCACGGATACCAAGGGACGACTGTGTGTGTCTCCGCCAGCACGGTGGCAGGCTCAGAGTGAAGCAGTGGCCAGTAAGTGGCAACTACTGTTGTTTTGTTATTATTATTTACTACGGCCGTAGGACTGCCCCTCGGCCGCCCAACACTCACGGTCCCGAGATGACAATGAGGCTGCGCACTCGGTCGAAGCCACGGTCTCCCAGGTTCAAGCACTCCCCGGAGAATTCCACCCGCCGGCCCTGGAAGTTCTCCTGCTCAAAGACCACCAGCTGCAGGAGAGAAGCACCCCCATGCCCAGGGGGCAGAATGAGGGGGGAGTAACTCCAACGTGGAGAGGCTCCAGATCAAATATGCATTAAGTACCCAAATAAATAAAAGCAGGCCATGCCCAGATCACATGAGAGCTTGCCACGAGCCAAGGTCTGTGAAACAATCCTGTCCTGCCTTCCATCCACTTCTGAACTTCTTATCTGCACCATCATTAGGAACTGATGGGTCTTCCTTCCAGGCCTTTATCTGTGCTGTTCTTCCTGCCTGGAATGCCCCTTTCCACCACACAACCCCATGCCGGAGCTCATGTTCCCTGTCCTCTTCTAGGCTAAGACCACCTCCTCCAGGAAGCCCTCCCTGATAACCCCTCCCTGGGTGGGCTTGGTTCAGTACTCCCTCCCCCACTGTGCTCACCCCATCAGCAGCACAAGTAACACACCACACAGTCACTGCTGCTTTGCTTCTGGGTCTCTCTCTGTGTACCTCTCTCCGCTTCCACTCAACCCCGCCAAAGACCGATGGGTGGATCCATTCCTGTATCTCCAAGCCCCAGGCCCTGCCCCAGAGCTGATGCTCAGCAAACACTTGCCAGTCTACCCACCAAACCATAGAGCCAATCCCTTCCACTTCACTAACCATCAAAGTTTTGATTTTTCTTCACTCGTTTTCCCAAGTTGGGAAAACTCTGCCATTCATTTTAACCAAGGCAAGTGTGTTCCCTCTCTTACTCAGTTTCCCCAGCTGTAAAAGGCAGAGGCCCACATACTTTGACACAGTACTTCCACGAGAAACTCCTGCAGGTGTGCCCCAGGAGACACGGATAAAAAAAGCCCTGGCCAGGCCACTCATGACAGCAAAGCTAGCACCCATCCAAACTGATTGTCAGGAGCGCCAGTCACACTCTAAAATATCACACAGCAACCAATATGAATGACCCACAGCAAGGCACAATCATATGAGTGACTATTAGAAATCTCATAAAAGAAAAACAAAAAACCCAGAACGATTACCTACAGTATATTTCAGGATGTTAAAAACAAATAAAACACAAATATATATATATATATTATGTCTGGTATATATATATATATATATTTTTTTTTAAGTAACCAATGCAAAGAAGTACATAAAAAAGCAAGCAAGCAACCAGATGATGGGTGGGGTCAGGATGGCCGTTCCTGGAGTAGAGGACAAGGGATGTGGACTCACGCGGGACACTCTGGAGTTAGAGAATGTTTAATATGGGTGGTGGATTGCAGGCTTGTGCTGCGGTATTAAAAATTAAATTGAAATCAGCCATTCAATAAGCGACTACATAAACAAAAGCCAGCCACGCGTGGACCGCAGGCGAGCGTGTCATGAACCAAGGGTGGTGAAGTGAGCCAGTTCTGTGCACCTAAGGTTGAAACCCAGCCCAGCCCAGTCCCAGGGGACTGGACGCCTTGCTCTCCAGGAGTCCTGACCGACGGCTTGGAACACTTTTCAGGAGAGTCTGAGGCCGCGTTTCTGCCCTCCTGGGACAGCAGGCGTTTCCTGCTGCTAAGCCAGCCCACTTTCTTTCTTTCTGTTTTTTGCTTTCGACAAACTCTAATAAGCAGGTGCAAGCCGGTAGAGGGGGAAAGAGGAGGAGTTGGGGGTAGGCAGGGGGTGAGGGGGAGGGGAGAGAAGGAGGGGGAGGGCAAGGGAGTGGAAAGGAATCAGGGGGGAGGGGGAGGAGAGGGGAGGAAGACCAACCACCCACCCCCAGCCTCACCTTGTAGATCCCAGGAGGCACTTCTCCCTTAGCAGCCGGCACGGGCTGGGCTGGGGGCGGGGCGGGGCCGGACCCTGGGGCTGATCCTGGGGGCGGGGCCCCCTTCCCCTTCCCATCAGGCCCAGGGTTCACCGCCCCGGTGGTCGAGGCCTTGGCCGCAGGCTGAGACATGGTTCCCACCTGCAAAGGTCTGTAAAGAAGCCCTCGGCCTGGGTTCATTCCGCGATGGTACCCCCAAGCTGCGTCCCGACTCGCATCCCCCATCACCCTGCGCTTTCAGGCTTCTTTGAATTCATATCCTCTTTCTCCTTCTAAAACATCAGCCTTGAAGTTTTCTATCCCGATCTCTCTCCAGTCAAGGATTTCCTGTCTGGGGATCACTCATCCCTGGTATGCCTTCCTCCAGGCTTCTGACCCTGCCGGAGCTCCACCAGCCAGTCCTCCCTTCTAACCCACTCTTCCCCTGCTGTGTCGTTCCACTGCCCTTTGGAGTCACTTTCCATGCCTCTTGGCTTGGGCAACTTCAGATTTGCCTCAGCAGATTAGTAACAAGAAGTCCCATTTGGGACTGCTTACAGGATGCAGGCTCTGTTACATTTGTTAATGAATCTGTCTGTGCCTCACTGGAACTCCATGCCTTAGGTGCTATCTTATCCCCTCTGAACAATCTGAGGCTCAGAGAGGGGAGGTGACCTGCCCAAGCCCACACAGCTCCTACGTGGACTTAGCACTTACTAGTACCAGCTACTAAGTGGTACAACTCCAATTGTGACTCAAGCAGACAAACCCAGCAATTGGGTTTGCTCTGCCATCCTTATTCCCATTTATTCATCCTTCCATCCCCAGTGCCTGGCTCAGCACCTGGTACGTAGGAGATGCTCAGTTAACATCCGTTCAGAGATTGACCGGATGCCTGGTCCTCTCTCCTTTCCCAGACAAACAGCTGCCTCTGGCCCTGTCTGGGAACGGGTGTGCGGGTGCAGATCCGGGCCTGGGACTGGGGGGTAAAGGAGGACCCAGGAGGGCGTGTTTGGTGCATGTTAGGTTCTGAAATGAAGGCTGTGGCTGTGTAGGCGTTGGGTGGAGAGGGTTTTGGTCAATTCCAGTGGTTCCTTGTTACTTTGGGGTTGTGGATGTCTTTGAATGTTTGAAGAACGCCTCGTCCTTGTCCCTTGGGAAAAAATGTCCCCTTTAATTTTGGAGACAATTTCCAGGGACTCCAGGGCAGATTTGACAGGGCAGATCAAGACCTTTTGGCAGAGGATTTCTGAACACTTTCTATAAGAAAGAGCTAGTTGGGGTAAGCAGATCCCTCCTGGTGCCTCCCCTGAGAAAGACTGTTGTTCCTCTGGGGGGGCTCTGTCCCCTGTGGGCAGGCAGGACATCTGGGCCACATGTGTGGCTTCCAGGCTTTTGCTTAACCCCCACTCCTGCCCCCAAGTCAGTCTGTGAGTCAACATTCCCTGGGCTGGTAGTTGGGTTCCTTCCTGGAGCTGTGTTCATTCCTTCAATTCTCCCTCCCCCCGCCCCCATCTTTCTCCTCCCCCTCCCTCCCCTGCCCTGCCCTCCCTCTTCTCCTCCCTCTCTCTGCCTTTCTGCTTATTTCTGTCTTCGCTTCTCTCTGTACCTACTCTTCTGTCTCTTTCTGTTTCTCTCTCCTCCAGTGTTTCCCTCTCTGCATCTCTGCATCTCCCTCTCTATCTGTTCTTTGTCACTGTTTTATCTTTTATCTCTTTCTATTCCTCTCTCCCCTCTATCCTCTCTCTGCCTATTTTTATCTTTCCTTAGCTTTCTCCCTTTCTCTCTGCCTTTCTCCTGATGACCCCATCTCTCTGACTCTCTCCTGTCTCTGATGTCTCTGCCTCCCCCTCCTCTCCCCTCCCCTTGGGCGCTTAGCAGCGGCAGTGGGTCCCCTCTTACCTGGGGACCCGCTACTTCCCACTGGAGGACAGGCAGGCAGGCAGGCTGGTGCAGTGGGGGACGAGGGGCCGACCCCCCATTTTATAGTCTGGCAGACACTAGACTCTGTGGTCTGGGGCACAAAGGGGGAGCTGGCTCAGCAGGTCCCGGGCAGGGAGTGGGGGCCACCCTGAGCCCCGACCTTGCCTGGTGACTGCGGAGAGCAGCATTTTCCATTGTGAACCCAGCACGCACAGCAGAAACGCTGGCCAGCAGCCACCTCGCCTTGCCTCTGCCTGGCCCTACCCCAGCCTGGGGATGGGCCCACGGGGTCCCCGCTGGGTGCCAGTCCTGGGGCAGGGAACAGAGAAACCCCCAGAAGGTAGGAGATCTGGGTTTGAATCCAGACTCAGCCACTCTGTGCTGTGTGACTTTCACCAAGTCTCTGCACCAAGGGGCCTCTGTGTCTGCAGTTACAGGCGGCGTAAGTGTCCCTGTTGGGTGCTGCAGAGGGAAAAAAGGTGACCAAGGGGGGCACCAAATGCATTACCTGTGCTACCTGGGTCAATTCCAGGACAACCCACTTTACCGGTACTTTCATTACACCCATTTAGCAGATGAGCAAAACTAGGGCACAGAGAGGCCAGGGCAAGGACCGGACCAGGCAGGCTAGCTCAGGGCCCGTATGTTTCACTCTCGGGCTGTCGGACCTTGGGCCTCGCCTGACTTCCTGCTTCTAGGTCTAGGGGAGGGAAGGCGGGGTACCCCTGTGCCCAGGTGAGTTGAACATTCAAGGCCTGGGTCCTGTTCCTGTGCCCACACTGGGCCCCCATCCCTCCTCCCCTCCCGATACATACACTCCTTCCTGACCAGCCTGGAGACTGCCCCCCACCCCCCCACCCCCCCACAATCTGACCCCAGGGATGGAGCTGGTGGCCAGGAACATGACTGCCTGCCTTGGGGCTGCTTCTGAGAAGCCCCCAGCCCCAGCTCTTCTCATTACCACTGGGCTCCAGCACCCTGCATGGAGCCTGACACAGGATGCGCTCTTAACCAATTTCGGGGAAAATGGTCACACCAAGGGGATCATAATGGAAAACAGTGTGCGGAGGAGCTGGGGAAACCAGATAGGGAGAGAGAAATAGGGAGGCTGATTGGGAGAAGTGGAGAGCCGCAGAGAAACAGATGATGGAGACAGAATTACAGAGGGGTGGAAGGGGAGACAGACTGTGACAGGGAGACAGATGGACAGACAGAGACAGACGTCAAACAGAGCAATAGAATCAGAACAATGGAGCCCATGTCAAAAATCACATCATCCAATCCCCTCATTTCACAAGTGGAAAAGCCACACAGTGTGAACTCACAGTAGAGCCAGGGCTCGGGGGACCCAGGGGCGCTGCTGAGCCAGGCCAGCCTGCAGGTTGCAGGTCAGGGGAGAGGGGGATTCTGCATAGGAAATTCTTACTTCTTCTATGGGTTCAGGGACCCAGACTCCACATGGAGACCAGCTCCGCCTTGAGATCGCTGTGGCCTGGAGCCAGCTCTGCCCTTGCACCCCCACTTCGCACCTCCCCCTTCCCAGGCCCCCTCTCCAGACTTTCATCCTGGGCCAAGGCCCGGGAGGGGGCCAGAACCCACAGGGCCAGGCAACTGCTGGAGCGAGGGCCAAGATGCCTGTGGTGTGAGGCCACCCACAGGTCTGGGATTCAAGGCCAAGATGTCTGGGGCAGTTCCATGTCCCCAGGGCAATGGGCCACCAGCCAAATGGTGGGGGCAGAGGTAAAGGGTGTTGTCCCCCCACCCCATGCTGGGTGGCTCCACTCTGAGCATTTGACTGACTTGGCTCCTGTGATCCTCACCAGGAGGGTGAGGGCTCGAGGATTAGTCCTATTTGCAGATGAGGAAGCCGAGGCAAATCCCTTCCCCCCTCCTTAGTCTGTTTCCTCATCTGTAAAACGGAATTGGGAGTCACATCTTTTTAGCTCCTGAAACCAAGCTCTTGGAAAACTACACGCTCCTGCTGTTACACAAACAATTATTTAATAGTAATCATTTTTCCCAGCTTCATTGAAATGTAACGGACACACCACTGTGTAAGTGCAAGGTGGGGTGCATGTTGATTGGCTACATTTATAAATCGCGAAATGATTGTCACCTCCATCTGGTCACAGAGTTAACACTGGTTTTTGGGTTTTTGTGTGTGTGTGTGGTGAGAACATGTAAGACGTATTCCCTTAGCAACGTGCAAGTGGACAGTATTATCAGCTACAATCCCCATGCTGTGTTCATTAGATCCTCAAGCTCGTTCATCTTATAACTGGGAGTTTTTGCCCTTTGAGCAAGATCTCCCTGTGCCCCGCGGCCCCTGACTCCTGGCAGCCACACCATTGTACTCTCCACTTCTCTGAGTGTGTCTTTTAAAGATTCGATAAGTAAGTGAGATCATCTGGTATTTGTCTTTCTCTGTTTGACTTCTTTCACTTAGCATAATGCCCTCAAGGTCCATCCTCGTTGTCGAAAATGGCAGGATTTCCCCCTTTCTCGTGGCTGAATAGTATTCCATTGTGCACATATACCACATCTTCTTTATCCATTCAGCCACTGACGGACAAGTAGGTTATTTTTATACCTTGGCTATTGTTAATAATGCTGTAATAAACGTGAGGGTGCAGATACATCAATGGTAATCTTTTTTTTTTTATTAGCAATGGTGACGACAATGATGATGGAGACACATTATGAATCTTATCTTCCAGGAGCAGTTCCGGGACAGCAAATGCTATTCATGTGTAATTCACACTTACCATCACACCGCTTCTGTCTCTTAGGCTAAACCCAGTTTACCATGTTATACCCATTGTACACATGAGGAAACTGAGGCTCAGAGAGATTAACATGCTCAAGATGACCCAGCCAGCAGGAGTGGAATGCAAACCCAGGCGGTCTGGCTACAGAGACTGCATTCTTAGCCTTCAATCTCCAAGGCAAACTTTTATCAAAGTTAAGATTTGATAGGGCTGCATTTAACCTTCTCAGGAGGGAACAAATATTGCTCTTTCACAGGTCATGAACTGGCATCAGACACTCCCCAGGTCACCCAAAGCAATCTGGTTTCCAGCATTGCTCTTTCCTACGCTGTGAGAGGCCCCCCTTAGGCCAACGCAGAGGGCGGGAGTGTAAGGGAGAGGGCTCACAAAGCACATTCTACAAACCCTGGATATCCGGCAGGTGCACTACAGTTTGCAAAGCATGTCCACACCCACCAGCTCCTTTACTCTGCCCACAGAGCCATCTGGACTCCTCTCTGAGCTTTGTGGGCCCCGGAGGCTCTGATTCAGCCACCTTTCCCACCTGTCTCCGTCTGCTCTCCATTAGGATCTCCTATCAGGCCACCAGCTCTTTCTCATCCCTCAGTCCCAAGTTCTCACCTCTGCACTTTTGTCTAGCCAGAGCATGTCCTTCCACCTCACTTTGTACAAATCCGCCTCACTCTTCAGAGCCTAGTTAAAATGCCACCTCCACCACGAAGTCTACCCAGATTGCCCCCACTGGTAGAGGAAGGGACCTGGGAGAGAGAAATGTAGAGGCATTGGTTGAATGTTTACTCTCTGCCAGGCATGTTACTTCACCTCACAACAGCCCTGTGATGTACTTCATTCTTGTCCCATTTTACAGACAGAAACAGGGGAAATGACCTGCCCCAAGTCATACAAGCAGGAGGGATGAGGTTGTGAACTCTGCTGCTCGTTCTCCTGTTCTAGTCAGGAGTTCCGTGGAGCTGGTGAAGGTGGACCTTCCTCCTGCTACCTTCTTCGTGGATGGTTCCTGATGGGGGCAAGCTGACCTCTGCCTCCCAGCCAAAGCCAATGCTGCTGACACCTCTCCATTGGCGCTCCGGCCAGAGCTGGCTTTTGTTCCTGTCGCTCACTTGCTGAGTCAGGGCTCTGTCCCCCAGGGGCCCTCTCTCTGCCCTGCCTATAAGAGCCTGACCTCGGCTGGTCTCAGGTCTGGCATGTTCTCTGGGTCCGTCTCGGTAAGTCCCAGGCTTGGAGAAGGGGTGGGATCCGAGCTCTGGGTGAGCGTCCTGGGAGGCAGGGAGCGTCCTGGGAGGTACCCCCCAATCCTGGGGACATCACTGTGTCCTCTGGAACGTCACCCTATCCTAACCAAGGCAGGCTCCAGGCATCCAGAGTGGCACCTGCTACCCTAGTTTCAAACCAGAATTATTCCTGCAATCCTATTGCCTCAGCTTCCACTATCGGAGTCATCTTTTTGGGTCAGGTGGTGTCTTTGGGAGACTCTTAAGCTGAGCACCTTGGTGTTTCCCAGGGGGTGACGCATCCACCCACCGGCAGCCACAGAAAACTCCCCATAATGAGCAGATGAATGAATACAGAGCAGGGCTTAGAGGAGTGGGACACAGCCTGGGTACGTTTTGAGGTGGGGACAAGATGGAAGAAAAGGAGATGGTCACAGATGGAAAGGGTAGGAGAGGGACAGGCCAAAACTGCACTTTGCCCCCAACCCGGGCACATCTGGACCCCATCTGGATCTAGACACTGCCCAAATTGGACTTCAGGATCAAGGACGGGGCAGAGGCAGGGCAGAAGCTTATCACCTTCTTCTCTGGTGTAGGAAGCAAGCAACATGAGTCTGCAATGCACCAAGTCAGCAGGACACTGGAAGGTAGGAAGAGGCATGGGGGGAGGTCTGGGAAGTGGGAGCAGTGCGGGTCAAACCCAGGTCCAGAGGACCCCCGTCCCCGCCTTCACTGAATCTCCACCTCACCCCTGGGGGGTGGTGATAATGAGGTCCCATTTCACAGAGGATGCAGTCAAGACTCAGAGAGGGAAAAGGTCTTGCCCAAGGTCACACACAGGGATCTTGATTTGAACTTGGGTTTTTTGGTCCCCAAATGAAACTGTTACACTATCTGGCAGAGATAGCCAACTGGTAATTGCACATGTCTTTGGTCATGATTTCTTTGACTTCCTCTGTGTTTAAAAAACAAAATGACAACCTTTGAATTTGTCATCAGCCTTTGAAAACACAGAAAAGCCCAGATACAGGGATTGTCTTGGGAAATCGGACAGATGGCCGCATTACCACGCGGCAACAGTAGGTGTCGCTACGCAGAAGCCAGCAGCTTCCACAGGGTCTGTGCCCTTCAGTTCTCAGCCCTCACCCTCCTTACCTGCCTGGCCCCTGAAGGCATCAGTTTGCAATCCCTGCTTTACCTGGTCTGCCCCACCTTGAGTCCTGGGGTGAGCCCCTAGCCCCTCACGCCACCCCCACGGGACTCCAATGCGGGTCTCTATCTTCTCTCTCCGGTATAGATCGTGGTGTGGGACGAAGAGAACTTCCAAGGCCGGCGGCATGAGTTCACAGCTGAGTGCCCCAGTGTGCTGGAGCTTGGTTTTGAGACTGTGCGATCTTTGAAAGTGCTGAGTGGAGCGTGAGTCCAGGGGGATTGGAGTTACGGTGGAAGAGACAGGAAGGGATGTAGAAAGGGGTGCTGGGACTTTTTGATGTCCTAGGTCCTGTCTTCCCAGGCTCTGACTGTACCGATGTGCCTTCCTTGGGTCTGAGATGCTGGGGCGTGTGCAGGATGGCAGTGTAAGGTTACGCTGGTTGTGCACTGCTCAAATGTAGGCGGTGCCATTCCCACAGAGCCCGCTCACTGCCTTTCTGTAGAACTTTCTGCAACAGTGGAAATCTCCAGGTGTACTGTCTGATTTGGAACCAGTGGCCACATATGACCATTGAGGACTTGAAATGCAGCTAGTGTGGCTAAAGAACATTAATTTTAAATTAAACTAAATTAAATTAAAATTTATTTAAGTTTAAATTTATTAGCTACATTGGCCAGTGACAACTGTGTTGGAGAGAAGTTTTTAGAAGGTTGGAAAGTAGCTTGAAAGAATGCTCTCTCTTTGTGATTCAGAGCCACTTCCTGCCTGTGAGTGCATCAGGTTATCTTGGTGGTATTTATGTACCTCACAACAAGGGTAAATGCTCTTCTAGATTCTGCTTTGTATCAGTGGGAATTGGGGTTCAGATGGGAGCAGTAACTTGTCCAGGTATGTGTCCAGCAGGCTGACAGACTTTGCCAGGAAGGAGACCAGAAGCTCAGGTTTATTACTTCCATAAGAGAGTTCATCAGTCAAGGGCAGCATGGTGTCAGCCTCCTGTGTCCCATGTCCCACAGGAGGACACCACAAGGGGCCGGATGACAGCAGGAGTGGTGGCCCTCTGCTGTGAACTGCCGCTCCATCTGCCGCGGGCTGCACCCTCCAGGGTGGCGAGGCAGGAAGTCCCGTATCTCATGGGAACCAGAGAGGCAGATGAGCCACTATCTCATGGAAGCCTCTCTCAGGAGAGGGAGGGGTGAGAAACAGCCTGTCTCCCCACGTTCCAGAGGATCACAGGGGGGAACCCCACCGAGGCTTAAGTCAGCTTGTGGTCAAGCCTCATCTGCATGGCCTAGGGGGACCCTGCGGGGAGCCGTCCTCACCTGCGGGAGGCACAGCGAGGCAGTGGGCTACTAGGTCTAGACTGGGCTTCTCCACCTCCGAGCGATGGATGTTTGGGGCCAGGTAGTTCTGTGCTGGGGGGCCGTCTGGTGCCTCGGAGGATGTTTAACAGCATCTCTGGCCTCTATCCACTAAATGCCAGTTGCAAACACCCCATCCTCCCTCCTCCCAGTATGACAACTAAAACTGCCTGCAGACGTTGTTAAATGTGTCCTTTGGGGGCAAAGCCACCCCTACATGATAACCATTGGTCTGGAACTCAGCGTGGAGTGGGGAGGGTCTCACCTCTTGTACTCTCTGCCCTCTTTCTGCAGATGGGTGGGGTTTGAGCACGCAGGCTTCCAAGGGCAGCAGTACGTGCTGGAGCGGGGCGAGTACCCGTGCTGGGATGCTTGGAGTGGCAACACGTCCTACCCCGCCGAGAGGCTCACCTCCTTCCGGCCCGTGGCCTGCGCTGTGAGTCTGCCACTGCCTTGTCCTGGGGAGGCCTCGGCCCCTCCAGTGGGGGCTTGGGAACAGGATGCCCCTGAGTTCAAATCTCATGTCACTTCTTCAAGCTGTGTGACATGGCTGTCCCTCCCCTCTCTGAGCCTGTTTCTTCATCTTGAAATGGGGCCAGAGAACCAACATTGTACAGGAGAAGAAAACACACAGAGCATCTGAACAGAGTCCACCACACACAGCCTGCCCATTGCAACTGTGGTTATAATATGGGCCCCTGTGTGTTCTGTGTCCCTCTTTTTGTGACTGAGGGACACTGGGAGATGCTGGGTGCCAGAAATGACAGGGCGAGGTGGGGAAGATGGGTTTTATTTCTTATTCCTAATTCATTATCAGCGCTCTTGATTTGATATTTTAACTACTGTTTCCAGAGTATGGGTGGAGGTGGGCATTACTAATCCCCATCTTACAGATGAAAAAACTGAGGCCCAGAAAGGTGTAGTTTTTTTTTCTCCAGCAGCAAGTCTTTAAATCACATACAACACACGTATTTATGATAAAGTTAGGGGGAAACCTGATACGGCCAAATAAGAAAATGAAAGTCACTTATACCCACACCTCTGAGACAGAAGCCCACCATTAACATTGCTGGAGATTTCCTTGGCCTTTTTTTTTTTTGTAATTTCTTTTTTCCTGGCAAGAGAGGTAATTAGGTTTATTTATTTATTTTTAATGGAGGTCCTGGGGATTGAACTCAGGACCTTGTGCATGCTAAGCACGCATTCTACCACTGATGAGCTACACCCTTCCCCCAAGATTTCCTTAGTCTTGCTTGCTGCCCACAGGTTATACCTACAGCGACTGATGTCAATATCCATGTCTGTATCTGTATATCTACGCATGCATACCATTCTGTTATAAAAATTGAATTGTAACAAACGTAAGGCTTAGAAACCAGCTTTTCTCACTCTGTCTGCAAATGTATCACCATTATCCTCCCAGGTGATTAAATCTCATTTATAGCATCATTTTCCATTGCCCCCTAGTATTCCATTTTGTGAATGTTCATTTGTTCATTTGTTCCATCAATAGCCCAGGCATTGTGCCAATCCGGGGACTCACGTGGACTCTTACAGACGCAAACCCTGCTTTTACGCAGTTTACAACTTACTTCTGGTTTCGTTTAGTCCTCAAAACCATCCTGAAAAGTAGATGTGGTTAGTTTCATTTTATAGATGCAGAAAGCAGGCTCAGAAATGCTGTGACATGTTTAGGCTCAGTCAGCTGGTAAGTGGAGAGTCAGGATTTGAACCCAGATCTCTTAACTGTAGTGCAGCACCCCAGTTTACCTCCTGATTTCCTACTGTTTGCTATTCAGGTTGATTATTTTTCTTTTCTTTTCTTTTTTCTCTTCTTTTCTTTTTCTTCTTCTTTTTTTAAAAACTGTTATTGCCAAGGCTAATTTGGTCTTTGATTATCTTCTTTGTGTAAATTTCCAGAAGGGAAATTTCTGGGAGGGCAAAGAGTATACTTCTTGAAGGTTTCTGGTGTCTGTTGGCTTACTGGTCTTCCAGAAGGTTTGCAAGGAAGGCTGATTTTGGAGACAAGGGCAGGGGTGTGGGCTCTGGCAGAGGCTCCTGGGTTTCTGACTGAGCACCTGATGCTGTGACCCTGTTCCCTGTGCCTGCAGAACCACCGTGACTCAAGGCTGACCATCTTTGAGCAAGAGAACTTCCTGGGCAGAAAAGGAGAGCTGAGCGATGACTATCCCTCCCTCCAGGCCATGGGCTGGGATGGCAATGAAGTGGGCTCCTTCCATGTCCACTCAGGGGCGTAAGTGGATGCAAAGCTCTGCCTGGCAGGGAGAGATGGGATGTTGGGAGGGATGGGGACGCATCTGGTGAAAACGATGTGCTGAGGACTTTTGGGGTCTGATGCCCACATTTCAGAGGCACAGAGAGGCATCAGGAGAAATTTATGGGTTTGCAAGTAATGGACACCCAGATCACACTGCTATTAATCTCAAAGTTAATTGGCCCCTGTAACTAGCTTCAGGCACAGCTGGATCCAGCTGCTTCAGCAGGGATCTGTCTTTCTCCCCATCTTGCTCTGTCTGCTTCAGTGCGGCTGTATTCTTTGGCAAGCTCTTCTCATGTGAAGGCAAGATGGCAGCTTCATCCTTACATTCCAGCCCAGCCCTAGGGAAAGGGAGTGTGTTTTTTCCCCAGTGATTCCACCAAAGATTCTAGGGAAGACTCTCACTGGTCCAGCTTGGGTCATGTGCTCAACTCTGAACCAATCACCAGGCCCACAGGAATGGGGTGCTCTGATTGGCTAGGTCTGGTCACATGCTCATTGCTAGAGTGAGGATTTTCTCACGTTGACTGAGGGGGAGGGGGCTGTCCAGCAGTAAAGAAGCAGATATGGGTTAAGCAACTTGCTTCACATCCAACAGCAGGTAGGTAACTGAATCCCAGCTTCAAGCCCAGGACTGACTGCCCCTTCCCACTCTTTTCTCTGAGGGGATGGCTGAGGTACAAGAGCCTCACTCGTAGAGGATAGTAGAGCCATCTTCTGAGGTAGCCCTTGGCTCCTGGTTGGCAGGGGCAAAGGTGGGAGGTGTTTTTATTTTATTTTTTAATTTTTCTCAGGAACCACCAGAGGATCTTATTGTTTCAGAGTAGGATGGACCCCTTGTGATTCTCAAGGCCACTTTCCTCTTACGGAAAGGGAAGTGGACAACTCAGAAGACAAGACACAAATCTGTGTCTAGTCCTGGATAATGTAGGAGCCAATGAATAGAAAGAATTATAGCCCTTTCCTTGGAAGTGTCCCTGAACAAGGCAGGAGGGGGAAAGAATAAGACACCCCACTTCTTCCTTCCTTCATCAAGTATTTATTGAGCCTCTCTGTGCTGGGCACTGTGTTAGGCACCAGAGATAACAGTGAACCAGCCACACACACCTCTACACCCAGGAGTTTACTGTTGGCAGGGGAGGCTGCTATTTTACGAATGATCTGTTAATTGCCTAATTAAATGAGTGCTACAAAAGTACCACAGGGGACTAATTTGGTGAATAAGTCAGACCGCCCTGATGAAGTGATGATTGAGCTGGAGGATAAATACAACTTGGCTGAGCAAAGAATGGCTGGAATGGTATTGCTGGCAGAGGGAACAGCATGATAGGGTAATAGCCTGCCTCTTCTCTTTTCCAGCTGGGTTTGCTCCCAGTTTCCTGGCTACCGCGGTTTTCAGTATGTGCTGGAGTGTGATCACCACTCAGGTGACTACAAGCATTTCCGGGAGTGGGGCTCTCATGCCCAGACCTTCCAGGTGCAGAGCATCCGAAGGATCCAGCAGTGAGCAGGGGGGCCAGCGCTGAGCAGCGAACATGTGCTTGTCTGGAACCGAGAAGCTGTGGAGGCTGTTATGTGCTCTCTCCTCTGCCTCCCCCTGTAACCCGTGTGAACCCAGCACTCATGTGGGCCAGTCCATGCACAGTCAGCACGAAAAACTAAAAGTAATAAAAAAAAGGTCTAGTGTTCACCTGTGGTTTTCAATTTTGTCAGTCCTTTCAAAGAACCAATCTTTATCTTTGTTGATTTTCTCTGTCATCTGTCTGAGTTTTGCTCTTATCTTCAGTATTTCCTTTCTTCTATTTACTCTTGGTTTACTTTCTTCTTCTTTTTTTTTTTTCTCTAGGTTTTAAAGGTAGATTCTTGGGTCATTATTTTGGCTCTTCTTTTTTCCCCCCAATATAATCACTTAGAGCTATAAATTTCCCTGCAAGTACTGCATTGGCTTCTTCCCACAAATTTTAATATGGTGTGTTTTTATGATCATTCAGTTTGATATTTTCTAGTCTCCCTTATGATTTCTTCTTTGACCCATGGATTATTTAAAGGGACGCTCTCTATATACTAGGGATTTTCTAGATATTTTATTGTTATAGATTTATTATTTAAGTCCATTGTGGTCAGAGAACATACTCAGGATTTCAATATTCTGATGAATTGAAACTTATTTTATGGCCCAGCTCATGGTCTATTTTTGATAGACTTGAAATCCTGCACTTGTTAGGTACAGTGTCCTATAAATGTCAGTTAGGTCAAGCTGGTTCACAACGTTGGTTACATTGCTCTGTATCCTTGCCAATTTTTAAAAGATCAGTTTTTTTTTTAATCACTTACTCAGAGAGGGCTGTTAATATCTCTTACTATGATTTGGTTTTATCTGCTCCTCCCTTTAGTTTTGTCCATTTTTGCTTTCTGATTTTTTTCCTTTGAGAATCTTGATGCTCTGTTATTAGGTGCATATATATTTATGATTGCTCTCTTCCTGATAAATTGTCCCAAGCTTGTTTTGTTTTTTTTTTTAAAGCCATGCATGGAGGGAGCCAGTTGTCTCCCCTAGTGAAACTTCTCACATTCCATTTCTCTCTCCCCAATTCTCACACATACTACCCACCTGCCACCTTAAATGTTTTTAAAACAAAGAAATAAACTCCCATTCCATTTGCAACCTGAGTGGCAAGATCTATACATACATTCCCACTCCCCTCACTCTCCACCCCTACCTCTCCTTGCTCTCTTTCCTGGTCCTTTATATATAGATTGTCTTAACAATCATAAGCCATCTGGCTAATTTTCTGGACTACCTTCCTTTATCATAAAGAAGTCTGACAGAGTCAGGAATGGGTGAGGTTCTGAACAGCCTGCTGGAAAAGATAACACTATCTGGCTCAGGAAGGGAAGTGTTTAGGAACATTCGCACTTTAGTCATTTTTAACCCCTCTCTGTATCATCCCATTCATTCAAACAATCATTTGCCTGGGACCTACTTTGTGCTAGGCCCTGGTAAATGGTAAACAAGATACAACAAGTCCTTTCTCTCACCCAGTTGGATTAGGAATACAGGCAAGTTCACAGTGGACTGCAATGCCCTGTGACAGGAGCTGTGATGGGGAAGCACAGGGGTGTATGAGAGGTAACAAGGGACCTGGAACGGATAACGGGGAGGGGGGAGGCAGTCTCTCCTAGGTGATTATCTCTACTCAGACCTCTCCTCTGAATGCCATCCCTGAATATCAACTGCAGACTACACACTTCTACATGGATGTCCAATGCGCAACTCAATCAGAATCCATCCAAAACCGAAGCTACTTTTCCATCTGTTTGGGTCAAAACTTTGGAATAATCCATCATCTCTCACACCCACAGTCCAATCCACTGGCAAATCCTGATGCCTGAATCTTCAAACTGTACCAGAACCCAGACACTTATCACCATCCCCATTGCTCCCACACTGGTCCAAGCCATCCTCCCCTCTCTCCTCCTTATCATCTCCCTGCTCCCACCTTTCCCTCTTAACCTGTTCTCTACCCAGCAGGCATAGTGGCTCTGTTAAAATTGTAAGGTGGATCTTTGCTCCCCTGCTCAAAACCCTCCCATGCTTCCCATCCCACTCCAAGAAAAAAAACAAAACAAAACAATTATATCCTAGTCCTATAAGGCTGGTCATCATCTACCTCCTCCATCGTCTCTCTGATCTCACGTCCCTGTAGTTAACTATGATAGTCATTCACAGCCTAGTGTGAATTAGTTTGGGGCATTTAGGTCCTGACATCCAGCAGGGCTTTAGGAAATGTAGAAGTACTGTCCAGGAAGTGGTCTCATGGTCAGTTCTAGGTAATGACCAAACTGACCATTAGAGAGAGGGTCATGAAGTCAATCTCTATGGGTACTGAGGTTTTGCTGAGGCAGAGGATGGGGGTTGGGCCACCATCTTCCAACCAGAAATGTTCTCACTCTGACGCCCTGAGACCCTAGAAGGCACTGGATATAGGGAGGTGGTACCCCTACAGCTGTACCCACCACAGAGGAGTGACTGACCCTGTCAGCTCTGAGTTGGTACCACACTCTGGGGCCAGAGGCCATCACAGTCCTGGATTTGCATCCTGGACTTGCCAGCATCTCACTTTAGTTTCCTCCTCTGTTAACTGGGGAAGCACAATACCTACTCTTTGTTTGTAAAAAGTTAAACACTGTATTATTCATGCTTGTGCCTAGAACGTGTGCAAGGTACTTGGTAAGCTCTCAGGAAAAGTTGGTAGAGGTTTTTGGTATCAGTCTTAGTATCGTTATTAGTATTATTTTACCTTTCTCTGTCTTTTTGCTTTGATAGTCCTGTCTGCACCCAACCCTCTTACCTGGGGCATGCCTTCCTCATAATGATAATGATGATGATGATATTGATGACACATATTGCATTGGTTTCTTTCACATGGGATAGCTTTTAAACCTCACAGTAACCCCTTGACATTATTATTATCCCTATAAAACTCATCTGGAACTTGAGGCTCAGAGAAGTCAAGCAACTGGCCTGAGGCCACCCAGCCTGTAAAAGCATTGAGCTTACTATGGGCTGTATAAGGTTTTGTGGAGCATTAAACAGATACGAGGCATGAATGGGGTTTATAAACAGTAAGTTGCTAGGTTCGTGTCCTCCTTTAAAGGATTTAAGAAAGTAGTCCTTCACACTTTAGTATGAATAACTGGGGACCTTTGAAAGCTGTGGATCTCTAGGGTCAAAGTAGGCAGTATTTGCTGAATGAATGAAAAAATGAACGAATAGGGGAGCCTCACTGGAATTTGATGGTGGCCCTACAAAGAGCCAGCAGCAGTTGGAGCCAAAAATGAGGCTAGCAAAGATAAAAAAAATGAGAACCCAGATATGAGATGATGGCTGGAGTGACAGGCAATAAAGAGACAATTTGTCAGGGGTGATCTTGGGAGGGGAGGAAAGAGACTGTGAAATTATTTTTCATATCTTGCCAGCAGACCAATTCTCACAGTTATAAAGGAAGGGGAACTTGAAAGATTGATGCTGTCTGTTCAGACGTAAGTGGCAAGCACAGGACACCCATCATCCAGAACACCACACATGCGGAACAGGACTGACCAAAGGGTCTGGGACTGTGGATCTCAAACCAGCATCCTCTTGGCCCAGAGAGGTAAGGGGACTTATCTAAGACTACGCAGCAAGCACCAACCACGTGACTGCTCCTAAGCGTCACCACCCAGCTACTCCCGTCGGGAGGGGGTGGCTTGCCACAAAGGAGGACGACACATTTGGAACTGCACACACCTCGGTCTGAATCCTGGATCCCGAGTTTTCTAGACAGGGTGAACTTTGGCGGGAAGGGTGCTCTGCCTCACTGAGCCTCAGTTTCCTTACCTCGTAAAATTGATAGTTGAAAAAGTGCTGTGAGAAGGAAGCTAGGATGCAGCGTGGGGCTTCTCTTTCTTAGTCTTCACTCGCTCTTTTTCTGTTCCCCTCCGCCCCCGCCTGCCCGGTTCTTTCTCTGGTCTACAGGGTCCTCACACTACTGTCTTACTGAGTCACTCCCCGGGGAGCAAAGATGCAGTGACAAAGATGACTGTAGGAATGGTCAGACAGAAAGGAAAGAAACCACCCAGAATGAAAGGAGGTGAGAAGCAGAAGATCTTAACACATCTTGGATGTGTTTAGGAGAGGGAGGGAGGGGGAGGAGAGGAGAAAGACAGGAAGAGAGGGGGAGGAGTGAAGAGAGAGAGAGGATTTTCCCCTGCAAATCCTGCCAGAAGCGGCTGTGAGGAACACCTATTCACTAACAAGGACCAAAGCAATGATAATGACAGTTACAAAGCATGTCACCCTTTGTGCAAAGTAGGAAGAAACAGCGTCTGTTGAGTGTCTATTTTGTGCTGGGCACAGGGCCAGGCACTCAACCACCCTCCCCACCCCCTCCAGCAGGCCATCATCCGCAGCTGCCAAGGAGGGACAGGAGGGGGAAGGCCCCCACCTGAACGGGGTGGGGTGGAGTCTGGCACAAGCCTGTGTGGTGGGTGCTGACCCACCCCATCCCTATTTCCTGAGGCTGTTTACAGTCAGTCACCTAATCACAAGACTGATGGAGGGGAAATATGTCGAGGTGGGGAGGCTTTTTTCCTGCCTTGCACTCCTGAACCTGCTCTTGACACAAAACAAAACCTCGGGAAGGCCGGGCCGATGGGTCAATTGTGCCCGAGGTGAGGTGGCAGTCTGCCCTTTTCATTTCAGTTTTAATTCAGAGAACCGCCCTCCCTTCACTCAGTCAATACCTCGAACGAGGATGACCCACCAGAGTCTAGAGGCAAGGAGGACACCAGTGACCCAGGTCCGGCCGGTAATGTCACCGTGATTGGGCCAAGGGGTGGGCACGGGACACAGTGGAGATGATGCTCTGGAACTTTGGTTGGAACCACCTGGAAAGAGAAGCTTTCTACGTGCTGGGCTTGTGAAGTTATGGGGTGTAAGCTGGAAACTTGCCATCGAAGGCAGCCTGAAAGCAAAACCAAGGTGGGGGAAGCAGAGGCCAGAAGCGGAGAAAATGAGTCCAACCATCCGGTTATGCAAATACCCCATGTGCCTTTGATCACATAACAGTCTCTCCCTGCTATTTTTTTCTTTCCCTTGAGACATTTTAAAGGTGGGTTTCTATCATTTACACTTGAAAAAGTCCTGAC